AGTTTGTGGCAAAATAAACTTTTTTGCGTCAAGTTTCCTTTTGCATTTATCTTCTTTTTTTTTTTTTAATTTTAATTATGTTGCATACAATTATACAAAAAGGTATAAATCTGGTACAGATATATCATTTTACTGTTAAGATTTTGTATTTATTACATTATTAATAAATAAATATTTTTTTCTCATTATTAGAATAAATCCCATAAAAATATATTCCTTATATATTTAATAGGTGTATTCTTAAAGAATTTAAATAAAATCTTGTTTCTAGTTTGTTTTTCTAGTTGTTTTTTTTGCCTAAAGTGATGTCACATACGCAGAAAAATTGTGGCTTCAACGTTTTGCGAAAAAGCCGCGTCTATTATTTTTAATGGTCTAAGAAGCAGATAATGTAAATTTAGCAATCAGAAATTATCAAGAGAGGGTAAATCTAAAATTGTAGTTTCAAAATTTCTACTTTGATGAGACAATATGTTTCCTGTTTTTTCAATCTTGCTTTTTCAATTTTTTTAAATATAATAACATGCAAATAAAAAATCAAAACAGCTTGAGCAACAAATACTTGTAATTATTAGAAAAGTTTACTTATATTATATGCAATCCTGCATAAAACGTGGATTTTTTACATTTTATAAACAATATATATAAACAAATAACATATTTGTTTATATATATTGTTTATATAGGGATAGTTAAGTGCAACAAAGTTTAAAAAAAATTAGTTTTTATTAAAAAATAATTTATATGTTTCTTTGCAAATACCGATATACTAAACTGTAAGTAAGTACTGAACTGCAATTACTTCTAATTTTTTTGGTTATTGGCTTTTCTTAAGAGCTTTTAAATTTTGATTCTAATTATCTCATTTCAACATACTGCAGCCATTTTTCAGAACGCCTTAAAGTGAAAAAAAAATTAATTTTGACTTTTTTACAATATAAGTTAGTTTAGATGTCTACAAGCGTTATTGAATACATATTTCCAAAGAGTTCTGAAAAAACTCATAAAAATTATAAGTTTCAAAAAATGTTTTACAAAGAGTTTCTCCTAATAACTTTTTTTTAATTGTTTTTCTCAAAATATGTAAATTAAGGCGTTTTGAAAAATGGCTTCAGCAAATATTTATAATAAAAAGATAAATGTACACTGTAAAACTTTACTGTAAAAATCACGGTACTATACTGTTACCCACAAGAATCGGTATTGTACCGTGATTATTTTACGGTAGAACACTGTGAATAAATCACAGTAAAATGCCGTTATTTTACGGTAGAATACCGTGATTTTTCTATGGTGAATTACGGCATAGTACTGTGATTAATTTACAGAAATGCTCGTTTATTTATTGTACAACATATATTGTACAATATAAATTAGTACAAAATATATTTTTACTATTTTCTTAAAATTTTTCACCTATTTCATTTTGTCTTTTTTTTAATTTAATTCAATTATATTTCAATTACGTTTTTTTCAATTATAAATATCTAGCAACATATATGCTTGTTTATATGCTTATTGCGACAAAAACACATCATATTTTTAAAAATCTTTTCAGTTTACATTATTTACTTTATTTCATAAATAAAAATAGTTACTCAGATAAATTAAAGGAATGTAAATAGGTTACAAAAAAAACGCAAACTTAAATTATGTAACATATTAATATAATGTTAAATAAATATTTATATTCGAGCCTAAGAAGAAATTTTACAAGATCTTTCCATTTATTTTAGTTCGGTGTAAATAGTAATGGAGTTTTTCAGGGCTGTTTGAAACACTGAGAACTGGTTCTTGGTTTAAGTAACCATAACTATCAAATTTTTTTATGACATCAACTAATAATTGGGATCCCTCTTGGGATCCTAATTATTAGGTGTAACAGGGGCACATGGTTTGGCTGCCACAGATAGTCATAATGGTTAACTAATTGTAACGTTGAACTGTCATGACCACTACCAATTACTGTGGGACCATATTTATCTATGAACAATTTAAAATATTTGGCAACCATAGAAGATGCAATAACATCTAAATGTTTTTTAATGGCGTAAACAAACAGCAAGAATATCATTCATAATAATGCTTAAAGATGCACAACAATGTGCTGTTGATGGTCTTTCTCCAGCTACTAATATATCTTGTGTCTCTTTAGACATTTTTGGCCCAAGGTACAACAAATCTTAAATACCAATCAGCAGCACTTACATGTTTAATCTTCATTGCTAGACAGAATTGAAGCTATATTTAAAGTTGAGCAATTAAATATTTAAAAAACACTTTAAATTAAACATTCTATTACTTCCATGTTTTATTAACAACTTTTTTTAACAACTTACTCAAATTAGTTAAATTATTTTTTACTTCAACTGTAGGCATCATTTGCATGCTGGATTGTGTAGCCATAATAAAATCTACAGGATTTTGAGATTGTTCTGCAAAAAACGTTTTTAACATTATAAGCAAAAGTATGTGAATGTATATGATAATAAAAATGATACTTATTTTATATGTATATATACATATATATATATATATATATATATATATATATATATATATATATATATATATATATATATATATATATATATATATATATATATATATATATATCATAAATCTTTATTACTAAGCGCTTTTCTTTGCCTGATATTCAAGGAGTTTGGGCTGTTCGATGGGTTTTAGCAAAACCAAATCCTCTACTTTTACCAGGCAGAGATCTGTTTTATTTTCAGCACCTATTTCCAATAAATTCTTGACAACTTGGTTCAAAACACATTTATCAATATTTAACAGTGTTTTTAAAATATTACTCTTGATAGCAAACATTATCTTAAAAAAAGAAATTTATATGAATATCATGTGTATATAACAGCTAGATATAGATAATATCTGTCTAAATGTGATATAGATATTATCTATATCACAGCTAAATAACCTAGCTTTGGTATAGATATTATCTATATCACAACTAGCTGTGATATAGATATTATCTATATCACTAATTGTGATATAAATAATATTTATATTAAGAACCTAGCGAGCTAGGTTCTTAAACTATATATATTATATATACTATATCATATAGTTTATGAAATAGGAAATGTAGTTGTTTATACAATTGCACATGCACATGCACCTTGCCCTTGCATATGCACCTACAAAATCTTTTTAAATGAATAAATCAAGTTTACTAAGTTTTTTTAAAAATTTAGTAAAATACAAAACAAAAAAATTATCTACATCTTTCAGGCTGGGTCAGGAAGCGGGAGCGATCGCTCTCAATTACTGACCACAGAAATAATATTTAGTTGCAAAAAGCTGGCCAGATTTTTTATCATCTTAACAATCGTAACATCTTACGATTGTTTAATAAGGAAACAAATGTTCTTTTATTTATCAAAGGGTATAATATAATTTTCATTTATATACTTGTGTCTTATTTTCAGTGCTGGATTAAGAAGGATTGGGGTTAGAGGGGGCTATAGCCACAGGCTCTGCAATGTTAGGGGCCCTGAAATAGTCAAAAAGACCTTTTTTTTTATTCATTTTTACCATGTGGCACATAAAAAAGGCCTCCAAAATATAAATATAACTCCGACCTCAAAAAGTCTCACAAGATTCTTATAAAACTAATGCTAGTTTTAGTTATAAGCTAAATTATTTTATTTAGTATTTAAAACAGAAAAAAGTATATAAGTATATAAGTAGAAAAGGGGTCCAAATTTAAACTAAAAGTTTTAATATTTATCATTTACTACTTGTAACTGATAAATATTGAAACTTTCAGTGTAAATTTGGACATACTAGTAACTTACTAGTATGTTTTTGAATTCTTGAGACTGATTTTTACTTAAAATAAATGGGAGGGGGGGGGGGGGTTAATGACCTTAGTGTGGATGAGAAAATTTTCTAAAAATTAATAAGCATATATATATATATATATATATATATATATATATATATATATATATATATATATATATATATATATATATATATATATATAAATAAACATATATATATTTGTGTTCTGTCGTGACCTCAGGTGCGGTGCTTATTCATCCGCGAGTTACTTTGTATGCATATTTGTGTTTAGTAACCAGAAACTTCTTGTATATTTATTTCATAATTAGTTTTATTAACTTTGATGATTATTAATATTTTCATTGAAAATGTAATTATTGTTGAAAATCTTTTTGTTTACAAAATAAATTGTAGAAATTGCTTTAAAAGATTACATTAGAATAAAAACAGATACACAAAATCACACATAATACATAAAATACATAAAATATCTATACTTTTAAATACATAAAAAATCTATACTTTTTAAATAAAAAATAAGAATATACTAATAAATCTATAATATATAATAAACTCTCAAAATTTTGATAATTTAAAAAATATTCATTTAAGACATTTATTTGTGTAAACAAATAATAGTTTAAAAGTTTTGAGGCTTTGCAATGTGGCTCCAAGAATGAGCCATAGTATTAAAATAATAGTTCGTTTAATAATATATTCTTTATTTAATAATATATTCTTTATTTATATATTAAATCTTAAAACTTAACAAATCTCATATAAAACAATTTTTAAAACATTTTAACAAAATACTCTAGAACTTTATTTCGCCTAGTCAGCATATTTTTTTGAACCAATAGAAGTAGTATGTTTGTAGATTTGGCGTGTTTTTAGAGTTTGCAAATATTCTTTTAATTTTTCCACACCAAGATGTTTTGAGAACATTGAGAACAGTTTATGTATGTTTCCATTTATGTCCATAAAACAAAAATTTTTGTTTACCGGACATGCATAAATTTAAATGCTCTCAAAACGACTAAAAACTCTGGCTAGTTTTTCGCAACTAAATTTTATTTTCATGGTCAGTAATCAAGAGCGATCGCTCCCGCTTCCCGACTAAGTTTGATCTTTATGTATGATGTAAAATTAAAAAATGAAATCAAAAAAAAAAAAATTTTCAATTTTTTTAGTTATTATTGCAGAGCCTAAATCAGAACCAAAAGAAAACAAAGAAGTTCTTACCACCCAAATATCTGAGAGTAAAGAATCAGATGATGATGATGATGAATCTGATGAAGAGAGTGATGAGAGTGAAAGTGACTCTGAGGAAGATAGCGATAGTGAAGATGATACCTCAAGTGATGAAGAAATAAAGCTTACTCCTGCCATGATCAGACAACAGACTAGGGAACAAATTCAAGTATTAGTTGAACTTTTTTGTTTTTGAACTTTTTTCTGATATTTAAACAAAAGCAAATAAAAATCATTAATAAATGAAAATAAGAAATATCTGTTGATAGATCTTTTATGCGTCTGCTTCTTTCTCCTTTTTACATCTTATTATTTCTTTTATAACTTTTTCTTTTTAATATTTGTCAGTTTTACTCTTTTTTTTTTTCTTTTTTTTACCATCTTTTTATATATTATATATAAACAGGCATTGGCAGAAGTGGGGGCTCGCCCATGCCTCCACAAATGACCACTATAAGAATTTTGTTAAAAATTAAATTGAAAATAAATCTGTTAAAAAAACAACAACAGCAACAACAACAGCTTTTTCCTATATATAGAACAAGAGATTAAGAGCTTTAACAGTTTTTAAAAAGCTATTTAAATTTTCAGTTTTATATTTTCAATTAAAACTTTTTAAAAATAAAATATAAAATTTAACCCATGCAAACTAATTATTCTAAAAACGAAATAATTTTTTATTTTTTATAGTTGTGTATTTAAATAAATCAAGATATATATATAAGACTTTCAAAAATCAAAACAAAAATAATAGATACACGCATTTAATAACTTAAAAAATCATTTTTTATAAAATGCTATAAAAAAAATTGTTCATTTAAACTTGAATTGTGTAACAAAAAAAAAATTTGAAAGTATCAAATTCATTCATAGAAGAGGAGTAACAAATTCATTCATAGAAGAAATTATATACATTGTATTTATACATGGTATTTATATACATAAATGTTTAGGACATATATATGTACATAAATACCACTTTTAAAATAAGCTCTTTATGTGTATATAAAAAAAACAATCCACAGCAACGTTATGTTTTTTAGAAAATATTCAAGCATCATTATGTTTTCTAAAAAAACTGTTAAAAAGAGTGAAATATTTTTAACCAAATTTTTCAATTTTCTTAAACTATAGATTTAAATCACTTTTTTTATTAATCAAAATTGATTATTTTAAAACTATTTTTTGTTTTGCGTTTCTTCAAATTTTTTATATATAATAGGATTTCACAATTTTAATCGTGTAACAGTATATTTAAACAGTTATTAAACTTTTCGAGCAATTTCCATTGCCATTGCAAAATATAGTTTCAAAATAACACATTCAAAATAAAATTATAATTATACAAAATGTATATATTTTTTATATATTCTGAATAAACTATGATTATATACTCAAATTTACAGAAATCTATTTTAAAAACATCTAAACACCTAAACATCAAAACATCAAAACAGATGTATATTTGATCATAAAAAATTACTTTTGATAACGTAAAGAAGTATGTCCAACAGGGGCGTGCTGACTCCAAAAAGCACATGCGGGATTTTTTAAAAAAGGCCTATATATGTGGGATTTCGCCAAATATGCTAAATTTGAACGCCCACATTTGTTTATATATTTAAATAGATACTTAAGCACGTTTTATGTTTTCATTCCTAAAAATAAACATATTTCACCACGTTTTTATGTTAACCAAATAGGATTTTTATTTTTTAAAAAACATTAACATTATATATATATATATATATATATATATATATATATATATATATATATATATATATATATATATATATATATATATATATATAAACATATATATATAAACATATATATATAAACATATATATATATATATATATATATATATATATATATATATATATATATATATATATATATATATATATATATATATATATATATATATATATATATATATATATATAAACATATATATATGTGTGTATATATTTATTATATATTTTTGTTGTAGCATTATTACATATACAAGAGTTATTGTATTTTATGTTATATAAACAAAGTTTTTGAAAGAAAACTAATATTATAATTTCTTTTAGTAATACGGCTAAATAAATGTACCATTATTTAGTCGTAATATTAAAATATATAGATATATATAATTATTTTAATAACTATTAATTAAAGATTGGTAGATTATAAATATTTGTAAATCTTTGCTCACGAAAAAAAATGTGTACTATATGGAACAGCCTGAGCCGTAGAGAAGTGATGAAAAATTATTTATAAAGTACAAGCGTTAGTACAAGAAGAAGTGCTTATTAACATTACAAAAACAATGATACAAGTTTTTTTTTTATGTGCCCTAAGAAGTCCTTACGGTCTTATCAACTTGAAGTTCAAATTAAATGTAAACACTTTTTAAGATTTTCAAATCTTAAAAAAAAAGAAGCTATAATTACAACAAACACAGATTTTACAACTATGTTCTTTGAAGAAAAAAAAGCGGTTACTAAAGTTTATAATGTTAAATATTAGTTTCAACGTATTTGCGGTCCCTGAAATGAATGAATCTGGAATACTTTCAAATAGAAATAAAAAGCTTTATTTATTCATATTTATAGAAAAAATATTTAACTACTTTTTAAATATCTGTAGAACATATATGAGCAATTTTATAAAAACTCACACAAATTATTTATATTTAAAAGCGTTACAAAATTTGTTTCTGAAAAAAAAAATTGTTTCTGAAAAATTAATTGATCTAATTTAACAAAAATTTTATCAATATGAATATTTTTATTCCAAAATTTAAAATTAAACACAATTAATCCTCATAATAATCATTGGCTAACTTAAGTAATTTTATCTATATAATGACTGATATAATAAGCGATTTAAGGGATGTAACAATCAATTATTTTTTCCAATATTGACTTTGTTTTGAGGCAAAAGTTACAAACGGTTGCATTTTATTATGCAAAATACTAATATATATGTTCTTGAAGTCCAACAGTTCGAATCAGAGATTTGTTAAAGAATTTAACTTGTGGAATAAAAAATAAAGCAAATAAATATCATTTGTCAATCATTTTCAGAATACAGTAAAAGATTCAAAAAATCAAAAAAAAGACCATTCTAGGATAACTAGCGATAGGCCCAAGAGGGATTCCCGCATAGCCTCGAGGGCCAGCACGCTACAGATGTCAAACTTAAATACATTTTGAGATTATATATATATATATATATATATATATATATATATATATATATATATATATATATATATATATATATATATATATATATATTTTTTTTTTTTTTTTTTCAAAACACATATTTACGCTTAAGGATGTTAGAAAACAATATAAAACTACACTTTACAACTTAATAATTTTGAACTTAAAAAATTTATATATATATATATATATATATATATATATATATATATATATATATAAATTACCAGATAATTATGACGTCAAGCTGATCGGGCTCAGATTTTTTGATAGATAATTCTTAAGACACTAACAATTCGTTGGTGTAAAAATCTAATCACAATCGGCGTGGATATGGGCCATAAGATATCAAAGAAGGAAATACTCTTTTAAAGTGATATCGCTGGTTATCCATTTCAAAAACGGGATAACAGTTCCCATCAATTTGCGGTTAACCGACTATTTGGTAAATTAGTGACGCTTTCTGAATAAAGGATCTTCTAAATTTTAATGAACGTAGTGTTTTAAACTAATTTTTAAAAAACTAATGTTTAACTGTACATTTTCAAGACAGTGAATACAGTCCTATATTATATATTTACAACAAAGCATGGAAAAAGATATATATATATATATATATATATATATATATATATATATATATATATATTTTATATTATTATATAATATACTTTTTTAATTATATAATTAAAAAAGGTAGTAATAATGTACAAGTATAGTTTAATTATCGGCAATATCATTCATCTCGACATCGCTGCTGATTTGAATTTCATCATCATCATCATCTTCTTCATTATTATCAACCAAGTTTCCACATAACTGAATTTTCATACAGAAAAACCAGCATCTCTGCATGTTCTGGCGTTAATTGATTTCTTTTCTTCGTGATAACATTTGAAAATATTCACTCACTTGGACAGCTGGTTGCTGTGATTCAGAAAAGCTGTGCAGCCAAACAAGAAAGAAGGCTGAATCTAGAACTATGCAACTTCCACCACATTAGTGGATCTCCCGTGAGCGGTTCAGCAGCTTCTGATATGTAAATTTGCATTTCCTGTCTGAAAGTTGTTGGAACTGAGCTGGCATTTGTTGCTGGCTTGTAAATACGCGAGAATAAATCAACTTTTTTTTTGCTTGTATGAAAACCATGAAAGACTTTGCATTTCAAGGATGCAGAAGCCGTTGCAGCAGGACCCATGACAGGTTGCTGCTGCAAGATGGCATGTAGTTCTTCTGCATATGTTATCAAACTGGCTTTTTCTTCGGTGGTCAGAAATAGGAGGCTTTTGAATCGAGGGTCCAAAAGGGCACCAACCATGCCTTAATAGCAAGGAAAATCATTGTTAATACGGCTAACCAAACCAAACCGTTGCTTTATTTCGCTTTGCAGCTTTTCTTTCAGCTGTACAGCAGCCTACGTGTCGTTCTCGTCATCTGGCTTAAAAAAAACTAGCAATCCGAAAATTGCTGGATAAATCGCTGAGTATGAAACATACCGCTGACCACTACAGCGAGTAACCTGGTCAGGAAAGGGTTTCAGAACTTCCACCACTTTTTGTGCAATGGGACGGCACACTTTGATCTAGCCATGTCTTTCTTCACTTGAGGATCCTGTAGAAAAGATATTCATAAAAATAAAAGCGCACAAGCATGCATTTGCAATTTAACCAATCAATTATTTATAGATATAGTAAATTATAACAATTTATCTTACCTGCATCGCTGCAATGATGTTCTGTTGTAGCCTCACCATTCGTTCCGCCATATGGATTTTGCTGCTCCACCTGGTTTCACAATCCATGATAGGGCGGATAGGCTTTGGAAGTTTAGATACTGTAGTACCACGATTTTTAGAATTCCTCTTGATTTCGTCTTTCTGAATTTGTTTGAGGACATTCCAGGATGGATTCGAATTTCTGAAGAACTGTGCCACTCTTCTGATGGCTGCCAGCGCACTTCTAACTGTTTGGATAGCATTGATTCTGTCATTAATGGCCAATTGACTTGTATGCTCGACACACCGTACCATATGCTGCACACGGTTGCTTAAATTTAGTGCCAGCACAATGCTTATGGCATTGTCTGACACAACTGCATAAGCTTCCGGAATATGCCAGGCATTTATTGCAGCCTCCAAATTTGTCTGTAGGTTGACACTCGTGTGACGCTCCTGGGAGTGAATCAAATTGATAACATAACTGACAAGGTTCCAGTTCTTGTCAATTAAATGAATTGAAATAGCTATGAATCTTTCATTAGAATTCGATGTCCAGCCATCTGTTGTGAGACAAGGATATATGTTTAGTTGTCCCATAATTGTCTGAACTTCTGCAAAAATGGCAGCCTTTCTTGCCTCAAATTGCAAAGCTATTGGTGAGACAATTGATGTGTATTCTATTGGTGGAGCCCCTGTAAATAAATTGTAATTAATGTAATAAAGTTATGGAAGTAATGGAAATTATCAAATTAATATAGCCAGATATTTTATTTGCATTAATTTTCAAGTGTTAGTGACAATTCAAAATGTTAATAACATTACAAAAAGCTTTTATTAGAACGGCTTGATATCTACTATGCAATATTACATATATATATATATATATATATATATATATATATATATATATATATATATATATATATATATATATATATATATATATATATAATTAATAAAAAAAATGGCTCCAACCTGGATACAAAAGTTGTGCCACTGCACAGAATCCTCTTCCTAAGACAAAATTGATAGGACGTAGATCCTGAACGCACATTGCCAACTTGTTGCTGTACTCCTCTTTTTTGGCACTATTCATGTGTTAAAATACCTACTTATTAAGGTATTAGTAGCACTTGTTGATGAAACTGCACCAGTTCTTCCAGCAACAACCAGATTAGAAGGATGATGCAATTTTAGGTGATTCTGCATTGCAGATGTACTTCCTCCTTTGCACAATATTTTCTCACCACGCACACTGCACACAAAAAATTTATTGTCAACTTTTTTAAAAAAACTTCCACATGATACTCTTTTTAAGACTAGACATGCTCTAAACAAAACAGATAATTTTTCATATAGAAAAATTAAAATGATTCATGTAATTAAATTTAAAAAGTTAAGCTCATAACATAAGTTACATAACTTAACTATAAGCCTTGCGATTTTTTTATCAAAATGTCTTAATATCAGCGAATGTTTCAAAAGCATTCTCTCATAAAAACATTTGATAGATATTATAAAGTTAATTTTTTTAGCGAAAACTCATTGTTATGCAGACATAGATGGAAACATGGATAGACTTGAATGTTTTCAAAACATCTTGTTGCAGAAAGATAATGTAAAGAATATTTGATAAACCTAAATTACCGCCAAATCTACCCCAAATCTTAAAGTTACAGAATATTTCAAAGAAACTTTCTTAAAAATGTATTGTTTGAGTTGCAAAAGTAATAATTAAATCTTTAAGATTTCTTTTGTAAATTGTTTTAAGAATATATTATCAAACAAAACTGATTAAATTAACATTTAAATTAATAAAAGAAATTTATTATAATGTTTGATAAATTAGCATTTGTCAAAAAATATTGTCATAAGTAAGTTGTTACTTTCTATAAATTTCGTAAAATTATAAAGTCGGTTTTTTTTATTCGAAAATAGATATATGATATTCAAACAAAATGCGGTTAACCGCAACACTGGATAACTGGCGAAATCACTAGCACTAGCGTTACCATAGTGGTAGTTAACACAAAAATAGTTTTTATGAATTATGGGATAATAAGTAATAAAAAGTTGCATTGAATTGCACACAATTTTTTTGAAAAAAAATCTCTTTGCAGCCAAATATTGCAATTGTAACTAATCACCCTCAATTCCTTATCTAAAAATCACTAATGAAATTTACCGTAAATTGTTGTAGAATTGTGTCTTCAAGGATAAAAACTTCAAGCTCAAATATATTGTTTTTTTAAAAAAGTTTTTATATCTATGATTTTTTAGAAAAGAAGATTAGCAAATGAAGCCAGGCGTTCTCCTGATAAACTTCGGGCACCTGTTATTTGTGTTCTTGGTCATGTTGATACTGGAAAAACAAAAATATTAGACAAAGTAAACACCTAAACCCCAAATTAGATGATATAGTTAAATTTTTTTTTAATTTATTTTGGTTTTTTACCTTTTCTATGTTGCTATTTTAGATTCGGCGAACAAATGTGCAAGATGGAGAAGCTGGGGGAATCACTCAACAAATTGGTGCAACTAATATACCTCTAGCTAATATACAAGAACAAACTAAAATGGTTAAAGAAGTAGGATTTTTATTGTAACATTCTTAAAATAGATTATTTTTTGAAAACTTATTTTTTGATTAATTTAATGTTTTAAATTTCAAGTTCCAGAAGTTAGAAATGAAAATTCCAGGTCTCCTTGTTATAGATACACCAGGACATGAGTCATTTAGGTATGTATTTTTTATTAAACATTTGGTTTATATTTATGTTATTTGTTTTATATAACTATAATGTATTAACCATCTTGAATCTATTTTTAATTCCAGCAATCTTCGCTCTCGTGGTTCAAATTTATGCGACATGGCCATTTTAGTTGTTGATCTTATGCATGGGTTGGAACAGCAAACAATTGAATCCATAAATTTGCTCAAGTCAAAAAAAACACCTTTTGTTGTAGCACTTAATAAAGTAATTAATTTTTTGTAGTTTAAAATAAAAAATTTACAATGATAAATTTTTATTTTTAATTTGCAATTTGAAATACAATAAATTGTGGTTTGTTTCCAGATTGATCGTGTTTATGAATGGAAAAAATCTCCACAGACTCAAGTAGAAGATACTATTAAAATGCAAAAAAAAGTAACAGTTGATGCATTTAATGAGTTGCTGAACTTAGTAATAAGACAATTTGCAGAACAAGTAAAGAGATTATTTTTATTCATATATATCATAACTAAACCAAATTCTAATTAACCAGTTAGGCAATTGTTTAATTAGAAAATTATGTGATATAATTTGTTTTATAACTTTTCCAACTTTTCTTTTTTTTTTTTATGGTAATCTTTTAAAACAATTTTTACAATTTTATTTGCAACAGGGTTTAAATGCAGCTTTACATTTCAAAAACCCTGATGAAAAGTCCTACATATCACTTGTACCTACATCAGCTCACAGTGGTGATGGGATGGGTGATTTATTAGCACTTATATGCCGTTTAACGCAATCAAGACTTGCCAAAAAATTGTCATTTTCTGAAGAGTTAGAAAGTACAGTAATGGAAGTGAGTATATTATTTGTTGTTATTTCATCTAATAGATTTACATTCATCGTGTAACAAATGAACTTTTATATTAGGTAAAAGCATTACCAGGTCTTGGTACAACTATTGATGTAATTTTGGTAAATGGAAAACTTAAAGAGGGTGACACAATAGTTACTGGAGGTATTGAAGGTGCTATTGTCACACAAATCAGATCAATTTTAACACCTCAACCAATGAGAGAACTTCGCGTAAAAGTGAGCTATTTTGAAGCTTGTTTAGTTTTTAATATTGTTTTTTTAAATAAATAAAAAATTTTAACGGCTCTTAAATTTAAAATTTACAGGGTCAATATATTCATCATCAAGAAATTGAAGCAGCACAAGGAGTTAAACTGTGTGCTAAAGATTTGGAAAAGGTTTTAGCAGGTTCACCATTGTATGTTGCACAAAGCCTTGATGAAGTTGATGTTTTAAAAGAAGATGTTGATAACTTTGTTTCCTCAAGCTTAAAGGCTATCAATGTGTCTGAGCGAGGTGTTTATGTGCAAGCTTCAACACTAGGTTCACTTGAAGCTTTACTAGAGTTTTTAAAAACTTCCAAAATTCCTGTAAGTGGTTCCTGTTTTTGTTTACAAATCTCTTTTTTTTTTTTTTTTTTTTTTTTAAATTTTATTTTATTTTAAACAAAATTAAAATTATTTATTTGTTATACTATATATTACAAGTCACTTAATTCATGTAATTATTTTTAGTATTGTGGAGTAAACATTGGACCAGTTCACAAAAAAGACATAATGCGATGTTCTGTTATGTTAGAACATGAACCAATGTAAGTGATAACCTTTCCTGCTATTTCTAATACATTAGGCTTTTTGGTATGAGCAGTTTCAACTGATGCAAAATAATATTTTATGAAACTGATGAAAAATAATATTTTGTAACATTAAACTCATTATAGTCCTTTATAAAAGCTACAGAAGAATTTTAAGCAAATGATACTTATATATTGTTAAGCAAGTGTTGTATAAATATTTTGTTTTAATTGAACACATTGTACAGTGAACACGTTTCCAGCAATTATAATAGAACAACATCAAAAATTAAATTCTTTTTGTAACTTTGGTCCCCTCAGAGAACCTAAAGACTCTAAAAGATTTAATTTTTTTTTTTTTTTTTTTCTTTCTGAGACTTGATTGCATACAGGTTACCTACAAAGCCATCCATTCAAATTGACATGGGAAACAGTGTTATAAAATAGGTTCTAACCTTAACTTTCTGACCCAGAAAAACCTTTTAATGGAATGATAGCCCTTACTATGGGGATCACTTGAATATAAGTATCAAAATCAGGTTACAATGTCCTAGCAAGTTATTTATATTTGAACTTTCATTCCAGTTAATACAAAACGTGTTTTAGACATTTAATATACGTATTAAAACATATTATAGACATAAGGCATGTCTTGTGTTTAATTGAATATTTTATTGATTACACAAACATGTGAAATGAGAGCTTATTTTGCTTTTTATAGAATTAAAAATCTCAAATTTACATCAATATAAACAAGGAAAGCAAAATAATATATTATTGAAGTTATATAATTAACAAACATAAAATATATTCATAAAAATTTTCTTTTAAATAGAAGAAATTCAAAAAATATATCCCATCATAAATCCCTTCTTAAAATGAGTTTTCACAAACAATGTTTACAAATAATATTTGCAAGTTTTATATCACAGGACATGACAAACTCCTGGTTTTTTAATTTAATCAACTCAAATACTTGCAAACATAAGTATAATTTTCTTGAAGCTCCTCAGTGACAGCAATGATAAGCTGTTGTTTTACACCAGTGTCCTTAAAAACCTTGCTTGTACAACTAAGTTTTTCTGGGGGAATGCTAGGTTCACAATTTAATTCAATAATTCCCAGGCTAAATTTGATTTTTTGATGTACTTCTCATGCAATGTATGCTAGTTCTCACACATCCAGCGTGATCTTGAATTGATGAACTTGAATTGATGAACTTGTGAAATGATGTACAAGTTGCTTGCTTGTCAATTTTTATGGTGTAATTTTAAACAACAATTTGTTTTGAGGTTGATTGATTAATAGACGCTGCCAACCTCTTGATGCCATTGTTTGAAAGCCCTGTGTTTGCTTGAACTTGAGCAAGATCCTTTACACTTATTGATGAATTTGGAGAGAAAAATTGTCTAGCTGATGATGAACCTATAGTGAATGCAAAAAGTTAACCTTACATTAATTTGAACTATAATAAACTAAATTCATGCTTGGTATTACCGGAAGCATTCTTCCACTATAAGGTTGACATAATCAAACAGTTCCATGTGGAGAAGGAGCTTTATTTAAAATAACAAGAGCTGCAATTCTTTCTGATTTCTTTTTCAGTATAATCTGACATCTTTCTTTTAGATTTGATGTTAGTTTTGATTAACATTTACTAAAACAAAGAAAAAAACAGTTTCCTGCATACTTGGTGGTTTTAGCAGTATTTGGCATTTTCGGTAAAATAAGATATGCTCAGTTTAGCTCTCATTAGCGCTTTTTCCCAGAGTTCAAAAGTAGAAATTATTCAAAAATAATTTGTCATAATTAAATAGGTTTCATATAATTTTTTCTAGAGGAGTAGTGAGACATGTTTAAAAAAAAAATCTCTATGTTAGGTGGGAACATATTAAACACGATAGGTATTCCATGCAGATGACAATTATATACTTGTATGTAATTTGTAAATTATATCTTACATATAGGGATTATAATATGACAATCAAATCTTGATACATATCTAGTACATCTAGTACACAAGAATCTACTCTATGTATAAAGTTGATTATAAAATCCAGCAAAAAAGTAAGATCTCAAGAGAAAAGTGTGGGATCTGTCTGGTTTTGATATCATCCTATGGTGTGAACATAATTGCAATAATGATGTTGTGTTCAGCCAAAAGAAACATCAAATGTTACCAAACAGTCAGCCCATAATATGAGCATAGGTAATGATCAATATTTCAAGCAATTAGGACTATAACTAAAATACACACTGAGCACCAGCTCAGCACTTTATCCAATCATGCTAACCCATATTGTATTGAATGTAAAAATTTGCTACTAAAATAATAGGTAAAACCAAATAGCGTATATGAAAGTTTTAATGAATGGTAAAAATGCATACACGCAAACAAATAAATAATTATATATATATATATATATATATATATATATATATAAATACACACATACATACACACACACATTCATACATATAGGTTTATACAACCTTCGGTACTAGAAAAATTAGATTGGCAAAAAAGTTATCGACCTAAAACCATTTTAGTTTGGCATAAAATTTTGAAACAGACTAATGTTTAGCATTAAGTTGATAAAAAAAACAAGCGTCAAGTTTGTTTGTTTTTCTTTAAGATGTTTGCTTAAAAGTTTGAAAAATAAACAAATGTTTGCCGATTTTGTTTTAATTATTTCATTTAGAATTAATAAAACTTTTTTTCTGCTTTTAATTTAATTGTTTTGTTTATGAGGTTTGTATTAGGAGTTTCAATAGAACGTTTGTTTTGTCTTTTTTAATTTGTTTTAAAAAGAGTTTATTTTATTTTTTATTTTATTTTATAAGATATTCAATTCAAATTTAATTAAAATGTCTGTTTTTTTGTTTTTTATTTTATTTATTATATTTGGAATTTATAACAGTCGTTTTTTCTGTTTTTAATTTAATTGTTTACAAGGTTTGTATTTAGAATAAAACCTTTGTTTAGATGAGTTTTTTTGTTTATTTTATTCAGAATTTAAATAAAACATTCGTTTTTTGTTTGTTTTTTTTTAATTATTTTATTTAGAATTTAAAAGTGTTGTTTTTTTATGTTTTTTTGCCATTTTTTAATATATTTGAAATAGAAAAGAAAATTTATTTTTAAAATTCTGAGGTCAATAATTTTATTACCAACCACAGATACTGTCAGGTCAGCAGAAAGGTCAGCATTGCTGAATGCTGATGTTAATTCCAAGGGCTGTATTTATGTATGTATTTATGTATATATTTATTTATACAGTAATAGCCAATTAAGATCTGAAACTCATAATTTTTAAAGGTGCTGTGTGGGTAGTTATCAAACTTTGGAAAAATATATATTAATATATACCAATATATATATATATATATATATATATATATATATATATATATATACACACACACACATCAGCGCTCGAAATAGTTTTTCAAAGCTTGCCGATCAAATGTAAAAACAGGTTATTTTCCCTTAAATTTTTTGATTTTTCTCTAAAAATAGCCAATCATTGATCGTTGATCTGCCGTTATTTCAAGCATGAAATATATATATATATATATATATATATATATATATATATATATATATATATATATATATATATATAATATATATATATATATATATATATATATATAAAATAAAGTTTCTTACCTCCTTAACTTATTATTTATCTTATAAATTTTAACACAAGCATTTCTTAGTGGTACTCAATGATAAGACCATATGGTTTTCTATGTATCCCCGCGTTCTATTATTTTTTAATAACAATCATTGTATATATTTATTTTTATATATTTGTATTTTAAATATTGTAACGAAGTGCCTATTTAAAATGTAATAAAAAGATAGATAGATTTTTGCTTGTGCCTCCTTGATAATGGCTATGCAACTCTTCCTGTTATCTCCTTATGAGGGTACAGCTCTAAAACTCAGTTTAATGGTTCTGAGGAATTTTATTAAATTTTTTTCCCAAACTGTGTGGTAGCTCTCAGAGTATTAACAGTGACATTTTTGCAAGGATGTCTCTGTTAATGATTTTGGTGCGCATTGTCGCGACCACATTAGGAGCTTTATGTTTTCAAGCCTCTTTCAACTCTATAACTCCGAATCCCGAACCTTGACGAACAAGGTATATGCACAGATAAACAAGTAGAGCGTGGTACAACCAGAAAGGTGGTGAGGATGGAACTCAAAACCTCTCATTTATGAAGCAACCAAGCTACCTTTACATCACTACCGCATCATGACTTAAAGTTAATTAACAGGACTGAGACAATTGCATAGCACATTGCTTAGGAGGCTGTGCTCTATTTATGAATGAGTCAAGTTCTCTTTAAACTTAAATTATGCCAAAATTAACCCAAAGTTTTTAAAATAAAAAACCATCCCCACCACTTAACTGTTTTAATATATCTTTTACAAATATTTGTGGTCTACAAAGCAACCTGCCATTAATTGAATCTTACTTCTTGCATAATTCACCAGACTTGCTTGCTCTTAGTGAGACTAATTTGAATTCTGCTATTCGTTCTTCAGATCTCAGTGTTGATGAGTAAACTATCCATCAATTCACAAAGACTCCAATAGTCACATGTTTGGTATAGGGTTACACATACAGATTAATTCACCTATTTTTGGTGAAATTAGGTTTAAATGATTCTTTTATGTGCTTTCGCTTAGCACCTCTTCACTCTATCACTTTCTCTTTGTTCTTTATCATTCTCCTCTTTCCAAGACTGCACTCTTTTATATATAATTTTTTATCAAATTGATCATTCCCCTCGTCTTACCCCTCTGCCAATATTGTTGTTATTGGTGACTATAATGTTCATCACTGTGAATGGCTATGGCTCTAACGCCACTGACCCTGCTGACAAAAACCCCTATAACTTATTTCTTAATCTATATCAACCCTATAACGCATTTCTCAATCTCTTACTCAGATATTAAACTTTGTGACTTCTTTTCCTGACAACCCTAACCATTCACCTTCATGCTTTTATTTATGTCTTGTCTCTGATCCTAGCTTGTGTTCAGTGTCTCCTTTTGTCCCTTAGGTGATTTTGACCATGCAATGATCTCTATAAATCTTTCATCTCCTACTTTTACTTTTCTCACTCAGCTGAAAAATATGCCTCCTATGTAACCTCCTGGATTCAGACAGGAATGAAAGCTTTTATTCCTTCTCATCGGTTTCAAGTCAATTCTCATTCTACTTTATGCTTTTCACCTTCTTGTGCAGCTGCTATATCTAGTCGTAATCATTTTTTCAATCACAATATTCATGTCTTACAAAATTGTTCTCCAGAAGTCTCTTCAATTCTGTTTAAACTATTTAATAAGTGCTTGACTGAGTCTTATTTTCCTGCCTGCTTAAGAATGACACATATCTGATGGTATTTCTTTTTTATTTAAAATGTTCTGTTATAATAAATGCCTACACTATACAGTACAATCGGTTTTTTGCTTTTAATATTGGGTAGTATATACTGTGTATAACTGTATATACATATATATTAAGGTGTTATTTAGGAATATATTTTTTACTGCGTTTTTGCAATATTGGAAATATTTGTTGTTATTGTTCTACAAAATATTGGGGGTTTTTATTGAGGTTGCCCTGGTGATTTAAAACAATAAGGTCGTTGAATTTCGGGAGTTTTAAACCATTGGGAATTTAGCGGTATACGTAGTGTCATTGGGTTGGCTAACAATCTATCTTTTTGTATTTATGTGTTTGTATAACTTTATATAATTTTTAGCTGTGCGGCTTCGTTATAGGTACGCTGTTATTCTTGCATTTGATGTTAAAATTGAAAAAGATGTTCAAGAATTTGCTGATAGAGAGGGCGTGCGGATATTTTCGGCAGAAATTATTTACCATCTTTTTGATCAATTTACTGCTTATTGTGAGGTAAGCATGTATTTTTTTAGAAAGCAGATAAGTTTTATATAAAGAAGAGTTTTATCTCGATTGTTATTAAAATTATTATCTTTATTTTGAAGTTTTTACATGATCTTTTAAATTTTTTAAATTTTTATTTAAAATGTTTTTATAAAAATAGGATTACAAGACAAAGAAACGTGACGAGTTTAAGCATCTTGCTGTGTATCCTGTTAAACTTAGAATCATGCCTCAACATATTTTTAACACAAGAGACCCGATAGTATTTGGGGTTGTTGTGGAAGGCGGAACTCTACGTCTTGGAACGCCGATAGTAGTACCTAGTCAAAACGTAATTAGTCAATAAAATGTTTTTGTTTTTTAATAACCTTATGTCTATTTTTATTTTTGTGATTTTTTTTTAATGTAGAATTTAATGATTGGTTTTGTGACTGGAATTGAAGCCAATCATAAACAACAGGAAAAGGCAGCTACTGGTCAAGAAGTTTGTGTAAAAATTGATGCTGTTCCAGGAGAGGCTCCTAAGCTATATGGACGTCATTTCACTCATGAAGATTTGCTAGTTAGTAAGGTAAGTCCAGGAGTTTTTAATAATCATTTGTTATACTCATAACCAATCAGTGGTTTAACATAGTAGTGCTACACGTTGTAAAACGTGACTTGTAGAATTGAATTTTTATAGAGACAATCATTTTTGTCATTTGTTGGCACATTAATTTATACTTCATTATTTTTAAATAAATTTACAAACAGAATTGGATAGACACTTAGACGATAGACAGTTTCTTTTTAAGATAATTAACTTATTTTTGACGCGTTGTGTCATCTTTTCTACGTGTTGTTTGAATTTCCAGGTTTAGCTTGAACTATAGAAAAATCTTACAGATGGTTAAATTCCAGTTTCTTGTGTATCATTTAATATGAATTTGTTCAACCTATGTAAATATTGTTACCTACCGGATAATTCTCGACGTTCTGAATTCTTAGTATGCAAAGCTTTATCGGCCGCTTCTCGTTACTAAGGCATTTGACGATAACTTTTGTTTATGATAAAAGTTTTCAAAGAGTGATCTCTCACTGATTATATATTTAAGTTGTCAGCTAGAGACTATTTCAATTTTTATTGCAAGACTTACTTGGCTTAACTATCCGTCACAGATAAATCGATGTGTATTACGTTATACTTATACTGTGTATTACGTTGTCTTCACGTTGCGTTTTTATTTTCTTGTTTTTATTTAAAACCGTTTGATGATTTGTTTTATAAGTTTACTGCATTTATCTAAAAATACTTGAAAATTTGTATTAAAATTTGTATATGATTCTGAAATTGTATAAAATTTATCTTACTAGATTACTCGCGATTCAATTGATGTAATGAAGCAATACTTCCGTGAAGATATGCAGAAGTCCGATTGGCAACTAGTTATAGAATTAAAAAAGCTTTTGGAAATAGTTTAAGGAAATTCTTCATCTTGTGATTTTTTTGACTCATACAGGCAGTCAGCTTTTTTGGAATAAATAAACCCAAATAAATATTTAAATAAATTCAAATAGTCAAGTATAATATTTGCCAAAATTTTTTAATAAAAATATTTGCTCATTATCAAAAAAAAAATTATACCTTCATATCATTATTCAAGATGCGTATGAAATCGAATGTACCGATAAATATTTTTCCAGAAAACGCTTTTGTAAATTTTACTCTGAATGGACTTTTAAAAAGTTCAGTTAATATATTTATGTATAATAAAGTTTCGTCAACATAAAAGTATGAACTTTAATAGAACAGCTAGTAACTGTTGCAGAGTGTTTGGGTCAGTTTGCTAGAAGACGTGAAAGAACGTGAGAATTAGCATTAGTTATGTCTTGTTAATTGCCAAAAAAAAGACACATTGTTTGGCAAATGAGTCAATAAGCCCGGGAATAAAAGACAGGCTATTGCTTTTACTCGGTACTTTTACTCTTTTCAAACCCCTATTTTGACGTTGAGCAACCTTGAGGGGATAGGCTAATTGAGAAATATATGGATAGGCGTATCGCAGTGAACATACATCGACTGATTTATATAGTCATAAGCACAGCAAGTGTGCATACATCGACTGAGGGTTTGGGCAGCCTGTCTTGAACTGAAAGGTTATTCTTTTTCATGTTTGCGAACTTAAAGGAGACCATCGGAATAGAGATTTAATAGGAGAGCTTACCCTTTTACTCAGTGTAATTTTTTAGCTTTACATAAATAAAAATTTAAGCAAAACCGTTCAAATTTTATTCACATAATGTTGACCAATTATTCCAAAAACGCAGAGTAAAAGCAATTGTTTTTATTATTCACCCGGCCTAATAAATATAGAAAAATTAATTAAAAAGACTTTAAAAAGCGCAACACCATCAGCAATAAAATAAAATGTTTTTGTTTTTTAATAACCTTATGTCTTGACGGCTAGCTGAATTTAATTTTTCGGCCACCATCAGCAATAAAATAAAATGTTTTTGTTTTTTAATAACCTTATGTCTGTGACGGCTAGCTGAATTTAATTTTTCGGCCCTTTCGAATGTCTGCAGAAAAAATTTATCTTTTTATAAAAAAAATCTGGATGTTTAAACACATCTTTGTTTACGTGAAATTGCTTGTTGTCAAAAAAGATTTAAAAACTGTAAATGTTTCTACTTATATATGTGACAACGTTTTTTTGTTTTTTTTTATCTTGAGTCTGATTGCTATAAACTAATTTACATGAAGTTAACTAACCAGAACCTTTTTATATTACCTTTTTAAATGACCCTTGCATTTAAAAGATCTTTATAATGTTATAACCCATGTTATGAGTGAAGTTGATTAAGAGATTTGATGGTCTGTAAGCATTTATTTTTTAGGCGAATTCATTCCAATACGGTTGTTAATTAACACTAATTAAGTTGTAACTTATCAAAAAACAAAATACGAGAGTTAAAAAGCAAAAAAAAAAACGACTTAAAAGTTTGTAAGTTGTTAAATATAAGTTTTTTGAAATTTAAGTTCAAATAAAAACTTCTATTTGAACTTAAATTTCAAATAGAAGTTTCTATTTGAAATTTAAGTTCAATAGGTTAATATTTTAGTAGGTTTATATTTTAATAGGTTAATAACCTTTAATGACATAGGAATTATTATTATTATCCGTATTTAAGCCACGAAACATTGTTACGCTAGATTCAAAATCCTTTTTGGTTTAAAAGATTTTTTTTTTTTTATTTATTCAAAAATAAGTTTTTTTTTTTTAATAATTTTATAGTTTTTATAATAGCTAATTTATATATAATTAATTTATACATTATTGAAATCATCACATTTGGAAATTTAATTGATAAGTTGTATTGCAAACGCATGATTTTCTGAGTTTTCGAAAACCATTGTAACGTCATAACATTTTTAAAGCTTGAAAAGACAAACTTCTCTTGCATAAAAATTTACGATTGAAGATATTGCATGATCTGGCGAAACCAGAAGTATGCAATAAACGTATGAAAGAAGTATGAAAAAAAAAACGTCATGCAGTACCCGGAGTTTTTTCCCGAAATTTTTTGAGGCTTTATTTCTAGAATCCTGAGCATTCTCAAATGACATAGCATGATCTTGAAAACCAAAAATTTATCTGAGTTGCGAATGCTAACTCAGATAAACTAAATAAGGAACGTTCTTTATTAGTTTTTCGGCATCTGGTTTGTTTACTTGCTTCATCAAAGTTCATAAGGGTCGAAAAGCTTTTCTCCTTTTTTTTTTTTTTGTTTGTTTTTTTTCGTTTTTGCACTTGAAAAATTTTAAACAACTTAGATGTTTACTACAGATAAAAATTTAAAAGCTTTGATTTAAACAAGCATTAAAAAATTTATGATAATTGTTAAGATTTTTAACCTCATGTATATTCAAATATGTTATTTTTGTTTAACTGCTGTTTTTCCACTTTAATTTTAATTTTGTCAAAAATTTTTTAAGTTTTTGCATACTATCTTTTGAAAATTAGAAATAAATTTTCTTACGCAACAATGATTGTAAAAAATCAACATGGTCATCTGAATCTGATGATATTTTTTTTTCAAAATTTCAATAATATCCATGCGAGTAATTTGTAAATAATCTCTCTGTAAACCTTCGAATGTAACGCTATTCAATTGAAAAAAGCATAAACCATAAACATTTTATATATTTATAGAACTAATTTCAAGTTAAAATTACTTAATTATGCTATATTACTTCAGTACCGAAGAGAAATGTAAAATATACAAATAGTATGTAAATGTAATGTACCTTTATTAAAAGTCCTCACTTTTTTATGCATTTTGTCTTTAAAAAAATACGTCCTAAAAAGGAAATAGTTAATATTGTTTAAATTTTTAAAGTCACTTTTCAAATAAAACTTGAACAAAACAAATTTAAAATTTTACTAAAACATAATAAAAATGCCTTGAAAAGTATCGTCCATAGGTAATTTTTCACTGATGATATATTTTTTTTTTGTAAACAATACTTATTAAAGAACACAATTTAATTGTTTATTGTAAAACCGCTAAATGCATGTTTTCAATGTTGATGTTCTACTGTATGGATATAGGTAACTATAAAATTTAATGAACTTTAATGACTTTAATTAACTTTAATGAACTTAATTAAAATTTTGTTTACGTTATTACAAAATAATAAGTTCAAAATTTTTATTTTCGACTTTTCGACAGCTTTTTTTGAAAATTCGCCCACTTTGTGATGGTTTGTCATCAAGAAATCGCTCTACATTATTACATATATTTTGTATACTACCTTATACTATCAATTTGTAATTGTAGAATTTTTGGATAAGAGTTTGTTGTAAAAATAAGGGCCACCATATGAAATTGAGGAACGTGGTAGTTTTGTATTTTTATATGATACATTTTTTTTTTTTTTTTCCAGCTTACAAAGTTAGTCGTTTTACAATACAATAAACTATTAAAATTACTTAACAAATATATATATACAAATCGTGATAAGTGTAAACTAGGTTTCCGAAAGAAGATCACTAAGATCTTATCATCGGAACCTTAAAAAAAACATTTGTAAACAATATAATTTACGAATACCTTGTAAAGTATACGTTACAGTAAAGTAAAATATATATATAGAACTTTTACATTAGCAAATCTTTAAATATAAATAGTTGTTAACAACAAAACTTTAGGGAAAAATAATAAAAAAGTTAAATAATAGATAAATTAATTAATAGTACTCAAAAATGTTATCGAGGGAAAAAATTAGATTTTTAATTTTGTTTTTAAAAAGACAAAAAGAATTTGGTCGATCAAAATCAACATTAGGTAAAACAAGTTTATTCCATAGGTGCGGTGCACGATAGGCAAGACAAAATTGATTAAAATTTGTTTGACAAAAAGGTTCGTTAAAAAATTTTTTTCTTTTAAGAGTGTATTTGTTGCTGGGTTTTAAACTAAAAAAATCTTTAAAGACTGGGGGGCATAGATTGTTTTTCCACATATAAACAAAGCATAAAATTTTTAAAATGTTGAGTTCAAATATATTTAAAATTTTCATCTCAATAAAATAAGGTGTACAATAAGAAAAACGATCAGCAAAGCTAATTATGCGAATTGCTCGTTTCTGACAGCGATAAAGACGAAGTAATTTACTTTTTTCAGTACTTCCCCAGGCAATATTAGCGTAGTTTATGTAGCAGTGAATAAATGAGAAATAAAGTTGCCTTAAGTGTTTCTTATTGAGATAAGTTCGAGCTTTGTACAAGACTCCAATGTTTTTAGAGACTTTAGTGCATGTATAGTTAATATGTTGATTCCAATTAATGTTCTCATCGAGATAAACACCTAAAAATTTAATAACGGAGTCTCTTTTTATTTCAATTTCATCAATAAAGATTGGAGGCAAGTTTAAGGGTAAAAATTTTTTTTCCTATTCGAATGAAAAAGAGTCCATTTAGTTTTGTCAGTATTTAAAGTTAATTTGTTGGATTTGAACCAGTGGGATAAAAGTTTAAGTTCTTTATTCACTCTGGCAAAAAGTTCGCTGATATCTCTCTTAGAGATGAATAAATTAGTATCATCAGCGAACATGATGCTCATCAGATTAGTTGCTTTATTTAAATCGTTTATATAAATTAAAAAAAGGAGAGGTCCGAGGATTGAACCTTGTGGAACTCCACAAGGTTCATTTTAATTTTCTATTCCTGGATTGTCATATCTATTTCTATTGCATTTAAAAACTCTTTTGAAAAACTTGGTAGGACAATTTTATAACATAACAACAAACTTTGATAGATGCTGATTTCATAAAGGTTTTGTGCATTAAGAAGTTTTTCCAAAGGTTCAGCACGAGTGATTTTATTTTCATTAAAGACTTTTTTTACGGCATATTTTTGATGTCGATGGATAGCTAATAGGTTTAGATCTGTAGGTACTTGCCCATACTATATTACCATACGTAGTTTACGGAGTTTTTAATTTATCTTGGATAGTTCCTGTTTTAACTGAAGATTTAAAAATTTCAAACATGGTTTTTTTATAACCGGAACGACAATTATTAATACATTGTTACAAATCTCATTGATTCCTGGTGCTTTATTAATTTTTAGGAAATTTTTTGCAACTTCAAGTTCATCATAATTTAGTCCATTGAATTTTAGTTCGCTATGTAGATCTGTGAAATTTGCATAGCGATTTTTTTAAAGATATTTGGGCATTAAATTTTGGACGCCATGTTAGGGCCATAGAAGCTGTAAATATAGAAGCTGTTTAAATATTCGACAATAAAATTCTTGTTGTTATACTATTTCATTCACAACAAATTAGTTTTTGTTGCTCTTGTCTTGTTTAAGATAGCAATTTAATGTTTATTCACTAATTTAATGTTTATTCACTAATCATAACACAATCCATTACAGAAATTTGATTTCTGCCCACTTATATTGTTTTGCAGTTCCATATGAAAATTACTTGCGTTTCTGCTATTGTATTTATGTAAGTCATTGTCCTTTCTGAACATATTCAAATATATTTTATTACTTGGATTAGTTACTACCTCATGAACATAATTTAAAATTATCGATATGATTTTCTGCTTTACTGATAACCATCCAATTTTCTCGAACATTTCTTTACAATGTGAATACCAATCACATTTTAGAATGTCTCATAGCTTTATTCATCAACTTCTGAAGTATTTTAATATCACCTTAATTTGCATTTGAAAAGATTCATGCCCATTATTCATAATGAAGAGCCACTATTGTATTATAATTTTTTTTTTTAGTCCACTGGGTTAGATTTCTACTTATTCTTGGTAGGTAATCCAACTTTTTAGATATTTTCTTACCAGTATGCTTGATATGTTCAGCAAATTTTAAATTTTCATCAAATTGAATGCCCAAATACTTGACACATTCAGAGAACTTAGTTTTCTTGTTATCCAAGATTCATGTGACTTACACAATAATATATTTCTTTTTTTAATCATCGAACTTGTTACTAACATTACCATTGATTTGTTTGTGTTCAGTTTTAATTTATTGTTATTTAACCATACTGTACTAGCTTTAAGATCTTTATTTAGTTTCACAATTGCATCATCATAGTTAGCACTTTCGATATAGAATAATGTTTTATCAACAAATAAGTTGATTTTTACATATTTGATTACACTGGTTATATCGTTCATGTATATAATAAAGAGTAAGGGGCCCAAAACAGACCCCTGAGGCACTCCAATGTCACACTCCAAGATATCAGATTCTTCGTTATCGTTCATTACTTTTTTTTATATACTTAAGTTTACTCCATTCTTTTGTTAACTAATTATATGCTTTTATCAATGTATAATCCTTCCACTATTTTGGATTTCTATTACCGCTACTCTTCACTTTTTTCGTTCTGACTTTTTTTATTGATAAATGTTTGAATATTTTGTATAAGTACTTTAACCATTTTATTTACATCTTTTGTATTAGATTGAAGCTCTTTACTATTCTCATTAGTATCTATAATCAATTTACTTAATTCTTCATAATCTATCTTATTAAAACATTTAATAATTTTGATTCGATTTGTACCGTTAGTACTAAAATTCGAATTTGAATTTAGATATGTCTTTTTTTCAACATGAACTTTTTGCAAACAAACATTACAAACATTATAAAAAATTACAGCAAACAAACTCATGATGGTATCGTGGTTTATCCTCCGCCAGCTAATTGCCTTGTGGAGGCCACATTACCAAGGTCTGCAGAGACTTGTTTCGGCTCCCAAGGGAGCGTCAAATCTCGCTCTACAGTCCAAGAGTAAGGTGGGTTTGGGAAGAACGAAGATATGTTAGAGTATAAGATAGAAGTAGTCGAGTTAGAAAGATAGCATAGAGTTAGCGGACAGGATTGCACACGATAATAGAGAGTGCAATACAAACTGTTTGGTTAGGTCGTGATCCGACTTAACTTCCCAGCCAGGTAAGTAAACAAACTCATGATCAGATAGTTTTATTTCTTCACTATGTGTAATTTTAATAAATAAATTGATTCACGTATTAGATGTATATTCTAGTGGGGCTATTATTGAAAACCTTTAAGTTGTAATTTTGATTTATATTTGTGAACATTTTATTTATACTTCACTTATTTAGAATAAAGTCGCCCATGCAGACAATATTTTTATACTTGGCACTAATATTAATTACCTATTTGTCCCAAAAATCCAAAAAAGATACTGCAGAAAATTGAGGTGATTTAAAAAATAAAGAAATATTAAATCTTTGTCTAAAAATGTGTAATGTTGCATTAAAAAGATGTCGCCGTCTCTACTTTCATTATGACCTTTTCTACTTTCATTCTCTACAATTGTTACAATACCAGTTTAACTACAACTTTTATTAGAAATAATTTTTAATTCATCATCAGAAACTCCACTGCATTCTTTATGGAATCACTTGTTAAATTTGTTTGTTATCACAATAAATACAATCTTTATCCTTAATAATATTTTCACATAATTTATATAATAACACGTGCACTTTTTTTTATCTTCTAATTTAGATTTTGGTCCTCCATCTTATTTTTGGTTCCACCTCCATGTTTTTGGACCTATGAGACCCACTAGTCCCATATTTATAATTAGTCATATTTATTAATGTTCAATTGATTATATGTCGATGTCTGTTAATGTTCAATATATAATATATCAATGTCTGGTATTTGTTTCAAGAATTTTTTAATATTCAAAGAAATAAATGCACTTTAATAAGAAAATTCAACTAGTTTTTTGTTACTAAATAAATAATCTCCATTTTCATTGGAAAGCACGTCTGGAAGCTATCTTAATATCTTGGATCAACCTTTATATGTTACTATGAAAACTATTAAACTGGTAAACTATTTGTTTTTGTATTTTTTGTTCCATAATTTTTTAATGATGCTCCTTGATTATTTTATATCACAATTTGTTTTTTGAAGTAGTTTTAGATAATATATTTTTTAAAGTTTTTTCTAACTTTTTCAAAAAAGATTTTTGTAGATAGATAAGTTGACATTTTTGTTTTAAATATTTTATGCTTTTGCTTTGTTTTTGAGAATTTTTTAATTCCGTTAGTAATCTATGGACAGTTCAAATATCTTTAGTTATTCTTTTTGAAAATGATTATTACAATGTTTTGGAAACAGTTTAAATATTCTTTCTTTGATCCAGAAATTATTATTACAATGTTTTGGAAAAATATCTTTAAATGTATTATACCCGGAGTGAGTGTCCTCAAGGTTGCATGCAATATTTCATCCTAATCTATTACTGATAGTCTTTAAATCTTTGAATAGAAATTTTATTATTTGTTCTTTTATAAATTTTGATTTTAGATTTACTGTAATGTAAATTGGGAAATGATCCGAAGTATCTTTTTAAATATACCTGCTTTTAATAAGGAATCTAGAAATGCGTTTGTCAAAATATTATCAATAGCGGAAATTGAATTTAGGATAATTCGCGTTGGTTTCTTAATGATTGGAAAGATACAATATTGAATGAGGTTATCAAAAAAGAATTTAGTGGTCGTATTCTTTTTGTACTTTAAACAAACTATGTTTAGGTCACCTATGAAGAATAATTTTCTCAATTGATTTTAAGAAAGATATCTTCTAAGTAGTTTGAAAATTTTCTTCAGGGGGTCTATAATAGGTAGATACAAAAAAAAATTTAATTTTGGTGTTGATAATTTCTATTGTAAGAACCTCATAATCGGAATCAGAAATCAAAAGATTTTTTCTTACTTTTATCTCTTGATCATTCCAAATATAAGTTTCAATCCCTCCATCCTTTCCTTTCAGAAGATAATAATTTATAGTTTAGAATTTAATAGCTGAAGATTTGAATTGATTCATCAGATAACCAAGTTTCTGTCAAGCAAACCATATTGAATAAATAATTTCAATTGAATAAGAAATGTTTTAGTTTATCAACATTTTTACTTATACTTCTTATATTTATGTGTACTACCATAGAATTATTTTTGAAAGTTTGAAGTTCAGTTGTAAAAGTTTCAACTTTAAAATAAAGGGAATCAATATTATTATTTGAACGGTTTGCGTATCGACGTCACAAAAATCATTGAGTATGTTATTTGCAGTTTCGAAGGCATTAAAGCACAAATATTTACCCTACTACTTTTCTTTTCTCTATCGCTATCCTTCTTCTCAAGATTGCATTTTTTTGATTTCTGATTTTATTTAACAATACCCTTTCTCTTTAGCATCTGCTAATATGGTTGTTATTGGTGACTTTAATGCTCATCACACTGAATGACTTGGCTCTAACATCACTGACCTTGCTGGCACTAAAACCCATTACTTCTGTATTTATCTCTTACTCTGATAATTAACTGTGTGACTTGTTTCACAGACAACACTAATCACTTAGCTTCACTCCTTGATTTTTGTGTCTAGTCTCTAACATGTATTCAGTTTTTTCTTGTACGTTAGGTGATTCCGACCATTCAGTGATATCTATAAATCATTCTTCTCGTGCTTCTTATTTGGACTCACCATATCATCGCTCTACTTACTAACACACTAAAGCCTACAGGTCGTGATTTTCTTTGTAAGAGTATATGGGCAAATTTTGGTCTTTTCTCTCGCCGCTGATAAACTTGCCTCACACAAAACTTCCTGGATCCAGGCAGGTATGAAATTTTTTATTCCTTCTTGTCAGTTTAAAATAAAGGCTTATTCTAGTCTATAGTTTTCACCTTTTTTTGCAGTTGCTGTTCTAGTTGTAATCATTTTTCATATTTTTCAAAAGAACAACTTTCTTGCTCTTGAAACAGATGAATAAAAGTAATTACAATTAGATACAGTGCCTTTTTACATTTTCAATCTGAAAAGGCGCGGTTAAGCTCTATTATTCCCAGTTCACTAAATCTTGTATCTTATCTCAGAAGTTAGTCTCTAGGATTTTATGAAAATCTTCAACAGCGTCATTAACAAAGGTAAATCTAATATTTCATCATTCATGGGATTGATCCCATGAATGATGAAATATTACCTCTCTCAAGAATAAGTCAGAATTAATTGCACTTTTTCTCTAATCTTGACTCTTGAAAAATGGCCATACTCGTCTTGCTATCTCAGTTAAACAGGTTTTCAAACCCATTGTTAGACATTCAAATTATTCCGTCTTCTGTTGCTAAAATCGTTTCTCAATTAAACTCTTCGACTGCTTTTGGCCCAGACAACATTCTTGTCATAATCTTACAAAAGTGTTCTCCAAAACTTTCTTCAATTCTCTAAACTATTTATTATGTGCTTGACTAAATCTTGTTTTCTTGTATGCTGGAAAATGGAATCCGTGTTTCTAATTTTTATATAACCTGGAGATAATTCTGAAAGATTCTGACGTGCATTAGATTGAGGCGGTGAGACAAAGGACATAACTAAAGCTTTCAATAAAGTTTGGCAAGCTTCTCCATTAGCTTTCTTCTCCATTAGCTTTCTTCTCCATTAGCTTTCTTCTCCATTAGCTTTCTTCTCCATTAGCTTTCTTCTCCATTAGCTTTCTTCTCCATTAGCTTTCTTCTCCATTAGCTTTCTTCTCCATTAGCTTTCATATGTAGTATATGGCAAAATGTTTGAGATTATGAAATCATTTCTTTTAAACTGTTTTATTAAAGTGATCTTTTTGGGATACCTCAAGGTTCTATCCTTTGTTTTTATTGTTTCTTATCTATCGGGTTGTCCAATAAATTCTTGCAATTGCTTTAAATTAAAAAATTCGCAGTTAAAATAAAATGTTTTGGTATAATGTTGCGTGTTATTCAAAAGAAAATTATTCTCTCTACAAGATAGCCTATTTAACTTTTTTGTTTGTATTTATTTTATTTTTATTTTTAGAGCATTTTAATGGAGTGTCAAGTCGACAAAAGCATTTTCGACACCACTTTCTTTTTACGTTTAACCGAGATGCTAGGTGCTTAATAACACGTAAGCTGCTAGAGAGATTTGTGCGGTATATAGGGAGGGTGCCACAGCTAAAAGAACTGCTTGATATTAGTTTTCAAAGTTCAAAAGTGGTGATTTCAACCTCAAGGACGCAAATTTCAACCTCAATTAGCCGCCCCAAACCTCTTGTTTGGGGCGGCTAATTGAGTTTGATGAAGAACGTTTGAATAAAATTCTGCATAAAGACGGGCGTCAAACAACCAGAGAATTGGCAGAGAGTAAAAAATCCAATAAATCAACAGTTCCAGAACATATCCACTTGATGGGAAAGGTTCAAAAA